ATATATATATGATATTGAAGGAAGTTAGCCGTTAACACTGTTGAATAAATATAATATAAATCATCAAAGGTACACTGTATATGTACCTTTGATGATTTATATTATATATAATATATATTCTGTATATTGATATTTAATGATTCTCTTTTTCCATGTGTTTGTATTTTCAAAATTTTCTGAATCAACTTAAATTAAATTTATTTACTAAAAACTATGATCATTTAATAATTGGTTATTAATGACTCTCTTTGAATTCCTAAAATATCACTCACAAAAACTACTTAGTCTTCTTATTTCTACTCTTCCTAACACTCTGCGAAGCAGGCCTATCATTCTCATCTTTAAAAGCTTGCGCTTTGCTTAATTCCTGCCAAGACAAAATGATCATTAGCGTTGGTATAACAACCCAAAAAGCATTCATTGAAACAAAGTAGAAGAAGAAGTAGAAAGGATCACCAAATGGTCCATGACTAAATCCATCCAACCACTCCGCCATGTAGTACGCAATCGTACCTGCAATGCAATATAAAAATTTACTTGTTACAGTATGTCTGTTAGAGTAATGTTCACAAGTCATTAGCAAAGGTAATTAGGTATTTCTATTCTAATATTTATAGATTAAGCATACAGCTGAAAATACCAAGGCCTGTTGCACTTATACATGTCTGGATGTAATTCCACCTGTTTTCTGAATTTCAACCAATCAAAGGAATGAAGCACAGTGTTTTTACACTTTTAACTGTACGAGTGTTGATGAGAACATGAGTGACAATATATCATAAAACATATGATAAACTTCAATTATACAAGTTTCAACTACACGAATTCCATCCTGTATATACAATTAAATAATCATCTATAAATTCACAAGTTTCTTTTTTGTAGAGCATTTTATTTTTATTAATGATAATCAAATTTAGGTTTTCTATTAACAACATAATCTGGATAATTGCCCAAATTATGTAGATCTCAAGTACACTTACCGTATAGTTGTCCTAGAGACACAATGATTCTGAGATGATGTCTGTATGGTGCATTGTAGAGGAAAGCATACATGATCCAGAAGCATGCAGGCCCCTCAGTCCAGGCAGTAATGCTTTCAATACTTACAATGCAACTGTCAGATCTGCACAAAAGAAAATAAATTACCATAAAACCTTAAATTGAAGCCCTGGGCTTCTATTTTTTTGTGAACCCTGGATGGGCTTCTTTTCAAGGCAAATTATGCAAAGAAAGAGGGGGCTTCTTTTCAAAATGAATGCTGTAAATTTTGGTAATTACTACTATAAAACAAGAAATGTCACATCAATCTTTATCATGGAGTGTATTAACTGGCATTAAATCACCTAAACTACAGTACTATACAAACCAAGCATGTTTTTTAATTTATTTTGTTTCTTTGAAATTCATGTACAGTGTATGCACTATATTATCTCGGAAAAAAAAAATCCCATGCTATCTTAAAAAAGAAGCCGATAGGCTTCGTTTTGAGTTGGGCTTCTTTTCAAGGCTACTTTTGCAAACTAAAGATGGGGCTTCAATTCCAGGTGGGCTTCCTCTCGAGATTAAGCCCATTGGGGTTCTATTTGCAGTTTTACGGAACATTAAAAAAGAAAATGCCTGTCATTAGGCTTAGTACACTGAAAGTACTGTAGTCTATATATGGTAATAACATTGACACCTTTCACTGTATTTTAACTTTTTATTATTGTCGTCATTGTGTGCGGCCCTATTAACGTCATGCATTTCCAGAGCTTCATATTTCTTGTCTAATGTAAATTTCTCAAACCTCTCATCAAAGAATGTAATACCATGAATGTGAAAGCACGGAAGACTTTCTTGACCAGATAAATAAATGTAATAAAGATGACCTTAGCAATTGTCGAATATGCAGCATGGATGTCGTCGCTTTGAACCCATCTATCGATGTAGACTTTGCCGTTGACAAATGTTGTGACATATTGCTTGAGAGTGATACTGATTTCATTAAACATAAACCATAAATAATTAGGCTTGTTTATCAAACTTTCCGAAAACCAATATAAAATCAAACTTATCCCAGAAGAACTACAACAATTTTGTCCCGCTAGAAGTAAACAGGGTGGACCTGAACTCCATATATATTAGTTAATGATCTTGTAAGGATTATGCGTAATATATCCCCAGACAATACAGAAGAAGAAAAAACGAATACATATCCAGCACCATATGTGGCAAAGACAAGCCAAACCAGTCACTTGTTGCAAACCATGTTTCAGAGAAAATGGCCAAAACATGCTGGAATTTCAAATTTTTAAAAATCTATTTTATTGCACTAAACTAACCTTTACATATCTATACATCGTTCTATGCTGTTATTTTCTCCATTTTTAATATTAAAACAACACTTTTTAAGGATTTAATGATCATTTCTGCATGAGAAATGCCTGAAATCATAAATTTTGAAGGCTGATTTCTCATATATTGTTCTTTAAACAGCTCTATGTTTAAACACTTGTAACTTCATAAGGAAATGTCCAATTTGAATGATTTTTTTACCATTTTATAGCTATTATTTACTCTCTAACACTGTGTTAATAACTCAAATCGATTTTTGCGATGAGTGACTGGTTTGGCTTGTCTTTGCCACATATATAGAATGCAATGGAATGGCTACACTACACAAGAACGAAAACAGGTATAAAATAGTACAAAAAAACAGATTTCAGACTACGACAGAACAGGACAAGAACCGATGTATAGACCGAAGGAATGGAAACGATTTCAGAAACGATTTCAGAAAAGAACACATTTCAGAAAACGACAGAACAGGACAAGTACCGATGTATAGACCGAAGGAATGGAAACGTAATGCAAGAGAAGCAAAGAGAAAGAGAAAAAAGAAAGAAACCTGGGTTCAGAAAGGAGGGTTCGACACACCACTGTTTGTGGATGCCACGTCGAACAGTTACCAAGCAAATGATATCCAACAAATTATTCATAAATCAGATCTCAAAGTCAAGGTTACAGAATGGGCAAGAAGCAACTTTAAACAAACCCTTGTTAAATCCAACCCCTTCCCCAGACAGAAATGTACGGATAATTACCCTGTGCGCAAGCAAGGCAACAATGTAAACTGCAAACAGTGAGAAGTTATCTATAAAATAGAATGCGAAAAGTGCAATGATTCCAACTCTGGCGTATACATTGGGGAAACCTCCAAAAGTATAAGAAGGTTTAGCGAACACTTAACAAAATATACTAACGAACACAGTGCATGAGTCTTTCATCAACAAATGACCGAAGAACATAGCGGAACACACCACGACATATATGTCACCTAATTGAGCAAACATCCTGAAGACCCTATGCTTCGGCAAGTAAATGAAGTACCCAGGAAACGAACCAAATCTACTATTTAACTCCTCTTATATATTTATGATCCTCTATTTTTGTTTATCTCCCTTCTGTGTGGTGTGTTTTTCGTTTCTTTTGCTCTCCCTATGTACATGGTTTATATCTACTGTAGGGCTTATATTCAGCATGCATGAGCAACTCTCGAAAGTTTCATGCATAAATTACCATGCATTATGATGCCCAACAACAGATGGCGCCACACACTAAGACCAGAATAAACCAGCTCACGACAAAATGTACACAACAACACCGCCTACTATACTGAAGAGATCCGGGACACCAATGAAATATTTATAGTGAGTACATTTAACATCGTACGTTATATTATTATTATTCAATTAAGGGCCGAAATACACTTACACAAGATACTTCAATAACCATAATAAATCATATGGCCCTAACAGCAGTGAACATGTTGATACAACAGATCTATTTTTATTAAATTCCTTTAAAGAAACTGTTGTGTAGCCTATACTGAAATGCAATGGGAATGCTAAATGTACACATGATGATACATAGAGTTCAGATTGTGTATAGATACTTACGTGACATAGCGACTATCAGCTTTTCCCCATTCTTTCCCTAAAAAAAAAAAAAAATTAAGTTTATTTAATGAGATTCAAATTTCAAATCACGAAAACCAATCGAGTTCTATAATATTTAATAGCTATCAGTAAGACATGATTATGTGTTGTCTCATGTAGGTCTATAATTATTCTAGCCCCAAGATTTAGTTTTTTATAGAGACTAATGGGTGACCCTTCAAGCTTACAGTATAAAATGATATGATATTTTTTAATTTAATTCTCATTACAAGGTTTAGGAAGCTGGGATATACAGTGCAGAAAAATCCTACTCCCTTTTCCTCATCACACAGAAAAAAGGTCAGCAGAAAATCTCAAGGTAAGCGATGTTGTGTTGGTTTGCCGATTGTCAGTAGCAGTCTGAGCGAATCACCATTAAAAGTGATGCGTTTTGCACACATAATCATTTTAATTGTGTCGCACTGAGCGCAAAGACGCATAAAACTATCTTAAACAATCTGAAGGGTAATTATTTCCCGGGGCATCCTGGGATTTCCTTATAGAAGCAACACTCAAAACGAACTTTTCATGCCCTTTCTTGGGCCAACAATAAGAATATTCTGAAGGGGAAAATGTTAGGATAGATGTTTAGTCTCCAATCAGCCAGTCTTGTACAGTATTTTGTAATTGCGACTGTGGTCCCTTCATTATGCCTGATGCTGCTACAGTAGCACTCGATCCCTACTTATATATTCTAATAATTTGGTTCCCCCACCACACCACACCCTGTCTCTGGTTCTTCTAGAACTAATACTTAATCACAAAATTTGATATGAAAAAAGTACACATCAACAAAATTTGCTTGGGTTCCTTAATACAGGAAACAATATACATAAATTCTCATATGCCATTCATTTAAGTGAGTATAATACATACTCCAAGTATCGAAATGCACGCCATCGTGTCGGGATTCAATATTTCGACATTAAATATCATCATCAGGAATGATTCATGCTCTACACTGTAATGGCAGAGGGATAGAAGCCCCTAAGAGACCTGCCCTTCCCGAATATGTGATTGGTATCGGCAACCACTCTGCATCAAAGTGAATAAACTATTACAGTGATTTCTGACCCCGGCGATCGACATTGCCCTCGTAATCATGTAAGGCTATTGTACTGTAGATAACCTCTACCAAAGGCTGATGGAAAACAATGATGTTGGAGGTACACTTAATTAACATGACTATAAAGGTCCTTCTTTGCCATTTTTGTGGTGTACACATACCAGATTAACAAGCGTCTCTATCACTGACCTCTATAATTAGCAAATCGTGAGGGGACAATAATCTGAGCAGATAATGATGCCCAACCCTTCCCCCCAACCATTTAAGGTTGTTCATGTGAGTAAAAAAATAATAGAATATGGTTGACTTGGATGAGATTATGCTTTTTGCTCGGAATACGGCTACACAAAATGTCAGAGAACTTTATAAGGCAATCTGAGAACGAGGAAGCACAATCATGTGTTTAAAAACGTACACAGGGGTGGATCCAGGATATTTTAAAGGAGGAGGGCACCCTCAGCAGTGCAAAGTGAGGGGCGCTACTGTACTACTACGAGGCCAAATGTGAAAATGCTTGGATACGTGTACAGTTACGCTACAGGTTCTGTATACATTTTGTTTCATATTCTTTTTTTTTTAAGGCAGTTGCAAAAACAGAGATGGGGTGCAACATTCCCCTGTTTTTCCCCCCCCCCCAAATCTTCCCCTTTCTGGTAAGGATTAGCGACAAACATCCTTGAGCTAGGGAGCCCATGTGTTTAAAAATAAATAAAATAAATACAGTTACTGTAATTGTATTTCATTGCAACTACTGTACCACTGCCAGAGGTCGATCCAACCAGGGAGCAGTGGTGGTGCTATAAGGTAGGGCATTTTCCCCCAACCCCACCCAAAAAAAAAAAACAAAAAAAAAGAAGAAAAACTATCGGTGAGAAAAATAGGCCTACTGTAGGATGTATATTTTACATATTAGTAGAAAATCTACTTACAAAATCGATTAAATATTTGTCTCTGAAACCCCTAAATTGTCATATTTCTCGGGGGCACTTTCGAGGTATTTTGAACGACGTCTGACCACGTCCACCTCAGGTCACCCCATTATATTGGGCCCCTCTCCTTCCCCAGCCAGATTTCAGAGTCTGGCGCCGCCATCAAAATATCTAAAATTGAGTAATACCAAAGATCTTATAAACAGAGCCGTATTAGAGAGAGTTTCCATGGCCAACTCCGTTTCACGGGATTCTATACGCGCGTGTGATTGGGTGGATCGCAATCACATGACTTACACCGGCCATGTTGTCACCAAAACAAAACATTGGCCAATGGCGAGCCACAAACTAACGCGATAGGATAAGATATTAGCAGTTATGATACAGTAGATGATTAATGTTATATATGTGAAATACCGTTATGTTCAGTTTGGGGTTGCTGCAATCGATCCAACAAAGGAACAAAAATGTATCAATTTTCTAAAATTCCAAAAAGGAGGATGATTTTGAATTTTATTTAAACTTTGCATGGCGATCGAAAAATCTCTCTATCCACGTACCGCCCGCCCCACTTCGCGGTAATCCACCTATTGTAATATTACTAGGCCTAGGCCCTAGGTAGGCCTAGATTTCGGTACTTCTTTGGCCTAACACCCTAAGGTAGTACTTAAATCGGCCTATTCAATACTATATTAAGGAACGATTTTCAAGCAGCAATGATATTTCTAAAAGATGCAATGTTGCACTTTGCTGTTAAATTAACTAAATTTCCAGAAAGCTACATGAAGTATCAGTCAAAGGTAGCTTAAATTATAATTTAAAATAAAAATTGAATCCTCCAATAAAAGCAAAAACTTGTCCAAGGATTCCTGTGCTATGCAAACATGTCAATTGTGCTTTACAAATCAATTAATTGTGCAACTAAGAAGAAATAATTTATTTAAAAAAAATAATAATTGTATTATATTGATTGTTTTAATACATACACTAAATCAAAACGTTTAAATGTTTTACAATTACAAATAAAAAATTGAATGATAATAATAATAATTAATAATAATAACAATACAGTAATAATGATAATAATAACTTACTAATATTATAGTGTGGAGAATGCTGATTTCACTTTACATAGGCCTAGTTTCTTGATTATGATTAGGGCATATGTTGTTTAAAAAAACAAAAATAAACTTTGATTTATTGTTTAGATTACAATTTACAAAGAATAGGCCTAGGCTATTTGTATCGGTTAGAATATGACCAGCATATTTTATTTCATAAATTAAAGTTTATAATATCCAAGTATAGGCCTAGATACAATTAATTAGAAAACTTTCATGTTATTAATATTATTTATCATTTATTTACAGGCGAAATTAACATATTATCGCCGACAATTCACATTGCAAACTACTCTGTCTGCACAGCCTAACCTTTCTCCTCTCTGCAGTGTTGACTCAAAGATATTACAGTAGGGCCTAAAATAGAGAGATGGGGCCTGCCCTACTAGAGGCTAGACTAGCCTAGGCCTCTTTAGCAACTAGGTATAGGCCTAGACGATAGCCTTTCAAAACAAAAAGATAATCGTAACAACAATGAAGAATCGTCCTCACTTTATCTTCTTAAAATAATACAGCGTGTTGATTAAAATTAACTTCCTAAGTTAGGTAAATATATATGATATTTACAATCATATATTAAAATCCAATTTAAATTGAATTGTCCTCATGAACAGAATAATGAAAGAAAGTTTATGCAGCATCAGTGTTATAAAGTGTTATAAATCTTTACGACGCACGCATGCCATTTGGTGACAACAAGGCGCCATGCGCCAAGTTGGCCAAACTCTATCTACGGCTCTGCTTATAAACAGAATCGTAGATAGAGAGAGTTTGGCCAACTCGGTTTCAATCACGTGACTTACACCGGCCATGTTGTCACCAAAACAAAACAACGCGATAGGGTAGGAAGTTAGCAGTTATTAT